CTGCGCCCCTGGTTAAGGATCCCTGACGTGTGCTTAAATAAGTGTCCTGCATCCCTGGTTAAGGATCTCTGACGTGTGCTTAAATAAACGAAGAAATGAAGGTTCATCACCGTCATAACAAATCCGCCATTGGACGCTATCTTAAGTCACATAAGTGCAGTTCCCATTGGTATACAGGAACGTCAGACAAGATCTCCGAAATCCCGGTCTTTCAAAAAGGGGACGGATACGGAAATCAGTAAACTTTTGAACATCCTGTGGCGATGGAGATTGCTTTGTAAGAAACAAACGCGGGCACAGCACTATCAGAAAGGAAGGAGAGATAACACATTCAGGAAATGATGCATCTTCCTACAGCAGAAGCTAAAAGAGGATGTGCGACACATACAAACGTCAGTTTCTATAAATTTCATTTCTCGAGTAATAAGGAGCAGCATTCTCTTCCCATCGCCGTCACATGGAGTCCGGCTCCGGGGTTCACAAAGTCCCCCACCCCACGTGGGCTAGGGGATGTTTCCCCGTGTTAAAGCAATCAGTGAGCAAAGTGTAGTGACAGCTTCATGCTCACGTGGTGACACCACACGTGTTAACCGGTTAGAACACGGGAGACCAGATAGCCTAACACATTTTAACTGTTTTACTCTGGTTCTTCTTGTACAGTAAGTTCATCATCAAAAGCACAACAACGCGTTTTTCTTTCAAATCACTGCATACGTATCATTAAAAACGATTTCAAGCCCTACTTCGGAGCCTCGGTTGGTATGGCGACATGCTACGGGCTGGACAACTCATCGCCAGCAGGGGAAGGAAATTAGTGCTCTTTTCCACAGAGTCCAGACGGGTTCTGGGGCCCATCCAGCCTCCTATCCAATCGGCACCGCGGGTTATTTCCCAGCGGGAAAGCGGTCGGGGCCCATCAGTTGCCGCGCGGTCTAAGGCATGAACTGTCTTCGCTCGTTCGGACGCTGGGACCTTGAGTTCGAATCCCTCTCAAGACATGGATGTCTGTGTGCGTTTATTCTGTGGTTGAGTTGTCCTCTGTTTAGGCAGAGGCCTTGCGACAGGCTGATCACTCGGCCAAGGAGTCCTACCGTCTGTGTAAAATGATTACGGAACTGAATGGGCTGGAGGAGACATTGAAAAAAAGTGGTCGGGGAGGGAAGATGATCCCTTGCCTTAATCTAGTGTCGAGGTCAAGAATGGTGAAGCTATACTTGGTGTGGTGCTTCATTAATAAGCACAGGGACAACTGCACCTTTTCAACCGAACCTTACAGTACAGCAGAAGACGAGTGCCGTACAGTAATCCACAAACATTTCACCTATATTCTCTAATGATATGACGCCCAGGCACATGTACCATTTTTCCCGTTTATCCTTAACACCCTAATGCGGCAGAAGTATAGCCGTCCAGGTGTAACAGGTCAACCTCCACGCATTCCAGCCCTCGGATCTGCCAGTGTAGATGAGTGGCAAGCTTCGCGTCCCGATTACTGTGCTCCTGGGGAAACATCCTCTGTACCCAGTGAGAGGGTTCGTGAGATCAGCTCTGGTTTGGGCATAACGCTTTTTTCCTTGGCACTACAGCCCCAGTGGGCCTAGGCCTACCTCCATGAACTCCGTTCACTTCGGTTTTTCTAGATCTTACACATACGGTAGGACTCCTTGGGTGGGTGATCAGCTCGTCGCAAGGCCTCTACCTGTACACAAACACAGAGAAACGCACACAAACATCCATGCCCTGAGTGGGATTCGAACCCACGATCCCGGCTTCCGAGCGATCGAAGACAGTGCATGCCTTAGACCGCTCGGCTACCGTGACCGGCGGGCATAACGCTTTTTCTCTTGGCACTACAGCCCCAGTGGGCCTAGGCCTACCTCCATGAACTCCGTTCACTTCGGTTTTTCTAGATCTTACACATACGGTAGGACTCCTTGGGTGGGTGATCAGCTCGTCGCAAGGCCTCTACCTGTACACAAACACAGAGAAACGCACACAAACATCCATGCCCTGAGTGGGATTCGAACCCACGATCCCGGCTTCCGAGCGATCGAAGACAGTGCATGCCTTAGACCGCTCGGCTACGTTGACCGGCGGGCATAACGCTTACCTGCTGGAAATCGAAACGATCCGTCCAGACTGTAGTCAGATACTTTACCTACCGAGCTACCCAAGCCCAAACCTAAACGTCCATACCTTCAGTTTGTAATATATTGCCCAACAATACATACTGCTTGTATCCGTAAGACCTACATGACGCAGAAACTGCCTGTCATTGCAATATGCAGCCCAACAGCTGATCTATGTATGCTACACGCTAAAAATACCTTCTCTCACTGTCGAATGCTAATCACGGGTGACAATACATAATTGCTCTGACGACATACGAAAAGCTGGAGGATGAAAGCAGGAAATGTGATGACTCATTGTTTGCAAAACTCGTATTTCTCTCTAACGAACAGAAAAACAAACAAACCAATCAGAGCAAGGCTCTTAGTGAACTGATACAGTTATTCTGTTGGTCAAGAGATTCCGTGCTTTGAAGGATCCTGAAGGTTCATCTCCATGTTGACAAAATCCCGCCACAGGATCACATTCTGCAGCAGAGGCATCAAAGCCACGCCATACTTCCCCATAATTCAAACCATGAGACAACCATGGCAATTCTACCATCATTCTTTCTTTTGGAGCTACAGCCCCAGTTTGTGCCCTAGCCTACCTCCATGAAACTCTTTGTTTCACTTTGGTTTACTACATCTTAGATATTCGGTAGGCCTCCTTGGGCGGGTGATCAGCTGGTCACAAGGCCTCTACCTGTACATAAACACAGAAAAACGCACACACACGAACTAAACATCCATGCCCTGAGTGGGATTCAAACCCACGATCGCGACTTCCAAGCGAGCGAAGACAGTGCATACCATAGACCGCTCGGCTACCGTGACTGTCATTCTACCATCTTAGTACACAACAAATGTCTTAAGTTAATGGTAAATACTAATTCGCAGCTGTGGATCTATGTATTGTCCATTTTTAGGGAATTGATTCTGCTCTCGTCTTCAAGTTATTTTTTTTCCTTGGCACTACAGCCCCAGTGGGCCTAGGCCTACCTCCATGAACTTCTCCATTCACTTCGGTTTTTCTAGATCTTAGACATATGGTAGGACTGTAACGTTCCCACCTCATGACTCAAGGTACGCGGGTTCAAACCCGGCGGAGGTCGTGGAATTTTTAAGGGCGAAAAAATTCAGGGAACAAGTCCTCCGGGAGGGACTTTAAGCCGTGGGTCCCGTGTACCTGTACACAAACACAGAAAAACGCACACACACAAACTAAACATCCATGCCCTGAGTGGGATTCGAACCCACGATCCCGGCTTCCGAGCGAGCGAAGACAGTGCACGCCTTAGACCGCTCGGCTACCGTGACCGGCCTTCAAGTTATTACTGCCACACATTTTATTTTACATATCAGTAGCAGGAGGCAGAATCATATCGCGAATCCCGTGAATATTAATTCTGTACGCTAATTATAGCAGTGGGGGTGACGAAATCTGCGATGGGACTCAATTTATCAGCCTCGGTGTTTATTACTTTCAGTGCTACGTACGGCGTATGACCCCTTGCATTTATGGATCTATACAACCGCGTTTCACGCGTGTCTGCTGTTGTACACGAAACCAGAACTTCATGTCGATTGTTATCTACACAGAATATATGAATGTCTGCTTTACACGAGTTTCGCAAGCTGGCCAACATTCTGATGTTCCGAGGCAGAAATTTGTTGTTTGTTTTTTTTCTTTCCACATTTCAGAACAAAGATAAAACGCTTTAGCCGTATTAAATAACTAGAGAAGAAATTTCCATAGTTCCTTTCGCCTAAAAATAGATTCACTGCGACATCAATCATCTACAGAAAAATCTGTTTTCGTCTCACTGATGAAAGAAACACTGGCATGAACTTACAAATTTGTAGTGGCCGACTCCATAAAAAAATGTGTATATCTGCTACGGTCATTTCTGAGTCAAAAATATTCTTCGCTGTCGTATTTAACAAATGATACTTGCCTTGAACACGTTAACAAATAACAACATATACAGTTACCTCTTTACGTTTAAAAAACACTGAAATGCGAACTTCCCATAATTTACACCACTAAGACGCTTCAGATACTGAACACGTTACATTTTTAGTGTGACTAGGCGGGGTTTGTTTTAGTGACTCGATTTATTGCACACGTCAACACACGACTCGTGACTACACTTTACAGTTCAATTACACACACAAATGTTCTTAGTTTGTTAGTCTCCACTACTCGTTGCCTGATAACGGCTTCAATGGCGGACGTTCCCCTTACTCTGTGTTCCGGAGCCATCCCCGTGCCTCATCTATCAGCTACTAACAGCAACAGCTCACAACGACTGAACTGCAATTCTCTGACTGATTCACTTGCCGACCAACTCTTCACTTCCCTGCACTGCACTAAGTCCCAGGCAGGCGATCATCCTACTCTTCTGACTCCAACTCAACTAACTGAATTCTAGACATGTTCTGCCTATAACACCTCGGCACGGACCACGTAGAAAACACAGCTCCTCATTATTGCAGTTCAATTGTTTCTTGTTAGGAATACGTTACCTAGCAGGGGCCGTTCTCTACGTAGTCATTACTTAGCAACGGGTCTACATGCTACAATACATTTCAGTTACGAAACCTGATCGGATACGCGGAGAAACAGATCTTGCCCAGTTTCATTCTTGTTACTCCTGGCCTTTCACGTTATCCATTAACACAGCCGGGATGACATCTGCGCATGTATGTACTTCATCTTACTGATGCATGCTCATCACTGAACCTTATATACTTCTTTCTGGGCAAAACTGGTATAAAATGAAAAGGCTGATACGTGAAGCAAGCACGCGTTGGGAGTAGCTCGCGGTGACGATGCATATACGTATAGCTGTGAGTTCTAAGTGCAGGATTGCGAAATAATTTACTTACCCGAAGATCGGACAACTCGGCGTCCTTCCTCCGCTCAAGTGCGACAGTGCTGGTTCAAGAAGTCACAACGCTCTCAGCACGAGGGACGATGATGTGTCGCTAGCTCAGTGTTGCACTGAGAACCGTATGTTTCAGCCATCTTTTACGCATTACACAACGTCCTTCCCTAAACAAAAACGAAAATAACATTTGTGAAATTTCCATCTCAGCAGTTTAAATGACATAGGCGTAAAATGGTTACAGGGTCAACCAGTATTCAGTTCCAATTTATTGAACTGCATTCACAGACCCTCGTCACAAAGGCAACACATTCAGCTGCAGAAATTTTAATGAGAAGGGAAGCTAATCATGAAAATTACGCAGGCCTACGCCTGAAAGGTCCAAAATGATGGGAGGAGGGGAGATAATCATGAACAGCACAGAGGTCTACGCTTGAAAGGTCCAAAATGATGGGAGGAGGGAAGATAATCATGAAAAAGTACGCAGGCCTACGCCTGAAAGGTCCAACACGATGGGAGAAGGGAAGATAATCATGAAAAAGTAGGCAGGCCTACACCTGAAAGATCCAACACGATGGGAGAAGGGAAGATAATCATGAAAAAGTACTAAGGCCTACGCTTGAAAGGTCCAAAATAATGGGTCAGAAATCGTTGGTCGAGACTCCAACAGTGGCCGGCGCCAAGTAACGCCAGTCTCCAATAGCAAATATTTCTCAATTTTCATGCGCCCAAAGCAGCAACACAGGCCTATACTAAGAACTCAAAGTGAACAATGTTTGTAGTTCAAGGTGTATACACAAACACGTATCTTCTGACATTCTCACTCCCTAATGACACCATCCACTGTGTCCAGCACAAAAACACTGCGGAACGCGGTCTCGGTTTCTTTAAAGTTAATAATCGGTTTTCGTCCGCGAAGTTTATGTAAAATTACAAAAAAAAAAACTCAATGAATACAGCCAGTAATCCGTCCGGGGTTCAAATTGGGCACGTCCAAGTATAAGTACAGAACGTAATCACTACAATGACCTACCCGGCGAATGGGCAATTTTTCGAACGGTCGTATATTTGAAGAAATAAGTTCTGATGTAAACTAATGGTCCGAACGGATTAATCCGAAACAAAACAGAATCACCGGACAACATTAGTCTAAATCTCACATGATATGCAGTAAGATAAATTATGGAACATGTGAACATTCCAACTGGAAAACAGACTGCCTAACACGGCCTGATAATGTACAGCTCCTTTTACACACTACGTACTGAATTTCAACATATTTACATACACGAAAACTACAAAGGTTGTGATTCTTTCCAATTTGACAAAAATAACGTCTGGTAGACAAATGTTAGGCCGGTCACGGTAGCCGAGCCGTCTAAGGCGTGTACTGCCTTCGCTGGCTCGGAAGCCGGGATCGTGGATTCGAATCCCACTCAGGACATGGATGTTTGTGTGCGTTTTTCTGTGCTTGTATACAGGTAGAGGCCTTGCGACGAGCTGATCACCCGCCCAAGGAGTCCTACTGAATGTGTAAGATCTAGAAAAATCGAAGTGAACGTAGAAGTTCATGGAGGTAGGCCTAAGCCCACTGGGGCTGTAGTGCCAAGGAAAAAAAAAAGACAAATGTTAGTAAGGGAGTAATTAAATCGACAGGAACGAATGTGAAAATGTGGTCCCTTGAAGATTTACAATTTTTCAGTGGGAAACCAGGAAACTACTATTGCAGTTCCTCATACACACAATTACATAATCAACTGATTCCTAAAACACAGCCACCGTCCACCCTACGTGTACCTTCTGGACGGCTGTTGTAAACTAGTACTGATGAAAGCGTCACGTGATGTCTGTAGCAAAAGTAGAGAGCGTCAGGCCTGCTGGTATGTGGCTCTGTGATAATAATGGTCACGCCTTCTGCAGACTTGGCTTATCATCACATTCAGAACGAGGAAATTTCCTTAATAAACACAGCACAAAGCAACGCTCTCACGCGGGAGCACCAAACCGACGAAGCTGACATAGGCTACAAGGCCGACAGAGGACTACACGAAAATACGAACCACTCGATAACTGAAACAGTTGAATATCGCACATGTGCAAACGGTCATAAATACAGCACATCCTAAACATAAATGTAACATGCATATGGAAGCATAATTTTAAACATAACCTGCCATCTTGCACTACAGCCTGTCCCCAAACAGCGTGTTTTGCCTTTGAAGTAGGGACTGTCAACAGTGTGAGCTGGGGCATATGGGCGCAGGCACAACAGCCTCTCAACTGCTCTCCAGTGAAGGCAAAGCGCTTGGTAACTTCCTCTCCACGGCGCGACTCTGCATCTGGCGCCGAGTGCTTCTGAATGTTTAGGTTAAACCAAGATTTCACACTAACTGAGTGTCGATGTAATTTGCTGTAAGAGACGTTTTCTGGGAACTGCAGAATTCTCTGCGAGATTAAGCATGGCAGTACACTGTTCGTGAACTATTTTAATTCGCATCTATTTTCTGCAGATTCCTACGGCGCCGTCTATAAATTACTAGTATAAGATTCTCATACTCGTCCATCATCCATACATGTTCGGCGACCCATGTCTTAAGCGGCTTACTACTGTGTACATCGTATGCGGCAGCCATGTTCTACCATTTCAAGTACCAATGATGAGTTTAATCTGGGGGAAATCTAGCAGGATAAGGGATTGGTTCTTCGCTAAGATCTCTACTTAGACAACACAGGAAACAAGTCCCCCGGGAAGGACTTTAAGCCGTGGTTCCCGTGTCGTAGATTTACGGCACGTAAAAGATCCTGATGTCTCTAGGAGACCTCTGAGCAAAATTAGGCAACAAGTTTCCCGCCCAAGTAATTTCCAATGCCTCTGGTAGATGGGGGAAATATCAGGTACCGAGGGCCGACCTCGTTGGCTGAACGGGGCTGATAGGACGCACCAGTACCGGTAGGGTATGGCGACAGTAGAAATTAAAGGGGGACGCACAATGGACCAATAACTGGTCTAAGTGCATGGGGAAACCCACCCCGTCTAATAATTATAATAATAATAATAGACAACACAGAAAAGGAGGACATGTGGAGGATCCTGTGTCCGCAGCGAAATTCGACCCCCCATAAAACTGTTCTAGTGGTCCAGCTCTTTGTAGCTACTGTGAGTGGCACATCCAGCTGACTGTCCATCATAGTGTTCTGGCGATTCTTCGGAAACTTGTTCTGGACTAGCCACGTTTTCAGCCCGTCACCTGGTTCAATCACAGAGAATAGTGCTAGACTGCACAAGGCTATGAATAGCCCATCATTGAAGACCAGCATAACGCGACACCTTGAAATCCTTGCCATCAATAATTCAAACATGGCGATCGAGCGAACTTGTGAGGCACAAAATACAGAAACGCTGATTTGAAATTCCGTATGGTGTGACGGGTTGAAAGGTGCACAGTTTTAACTGCACTTCTGTTACGAAACCTGAAAGTAATATTTCTACCATAAGAAAAATTTTGGTTTGTTGACGAAGGCTGATGAAAAAACTGTATTTCAATAGTAAGCGGATACAAATATAACAAATGTATAACTTTCAAATGAATCATGCCAATCGTGAATGGTTCTAGTTCTTGTCTTACGTAAGGAAAACATGCCCCCCCCTCTCAATGTTCAATTCTTACTGATGACGTGTAAGAGTAAATAAACTATTCCTTTCAAGCAACCGTGACCCACTAAAATAATGCATACATTTAAGCCACTAAATACCTTTACAGCCCCGGTACAGCCACAATAACCCAAAAAATGTTCCCGTACAGTCACGAAAATTTTCGCGAAATTTATCGCTGGCTACAGCTACATTTTTCAAAAGCATCTATCATTAAATTTGACTTGCAGAATTCATTGGATGCAGCTATATTTTTAAAAAATCTTGAGGACTGTACAACCGAAGATGGCGTTGTGACCCACAATTTGACAAACAATTACGCAACTTTCTTGTGTAGGCCACCTGCAACATAATCCTTAATTACATCACTGCATTAACCTGACACATCGACAATTTTCTATGACAGCTCTCATGGACTTAGCCTGGTCTCAGGTGTTTATAACCTTTGTGTTTTGGGACGTCGGTTGTGCAGTGATTGAGGCTAGCTCTTTCTAATGGACCCAACAGAATAGGTTTTTTTTTCTTAGTTATCTTAAAATCAGGATGATGGATAAAGACCGAAAACCCAATATCTTTATGTGTTATACACCATCGTCAGAATCCTATAGTAACTACAAGATAAACCCACTTCAGTTCTTTCAAAATATGGAAAGTGGGCTAACAAGAATTAGTCAGTTACTTTACGACTGGCGGTTTGCCGCCAATCAGTTTGTCTTGGCGCCAAGCCCCCTGAGGCTCACGTCCAGAAATATGTTTCAACTGAACTCTTACGGACACAGTCCTTATGTAACATCCCCCCTGACAAGAGGATGGGTTTAATCGCCTACTTTCCTTTACTATGTATAACACGGACCGCATAGAAAACGACGCCTCCAACAATTCTTCGTTGCCATGGGAACGTCTTTATCGAGTTATCTAGCAACGATAAGGGGATATACGTACAAACCCAGATTCTCCTTTGATATGACATGGACCGCATAGAAAATATCACGTCCAACAGTTCTTCTGTTGTTGGATGCAGTCGTTGCTGCGGGAACCTGTTCACCGATCCGTTTGCTATCAACGAAAAGAGGGATACACTTTACCGAACTTCTGCCTGGCAACGACAGAGGGATACACATACAGACCGTAAGGAAGGTTTTAAGAAGTACGCCATTGAGATAGGCTCAGGTGAGCAGCCTCCGTAGTCTAGGGGTAACGTTCCCACCTCATGACTCAAGGTCGTGGAATTTTTAAGGGCGGAAAAATTCAGGGAACAAGTCCTCCGGGAGGGACTTCAAGCCGTGGGTCCCGTGTCGTAGATTTACGGCACGTAAAAGATCATGTCTCTGGGAGACCTCTGAGCAAAATTAGGCAATAATTTCCCGCCCAAGTAGTTTCCAGTGCCTCTGGTAGATGGGGGAAATATCAGGTACCGACGGCCGACCTCGTTGGCTGAACGGGCTGATAGCACGCACCAGTACCGGTAGGGTAAGGCGACAGTAGAAATTAAAGGGGGACGCACAATGGACCAAT